GCAGCATATTGCATCAAGGATAAGCTTATACAAAGACCGCTATTAAATTGTAATTGTTGCTCAGTAAGATATTTATTGCACATAAAATTTATATGAAGTAAATCATCACTGTTGCCAGCTACTTCTAAAAAGAACCAAATCAAGATTACTCTTTTTATGTGTATCCTTTTGTTGTGGAAAGACATAAACAGATACTATGATACACCAATCCACGGTATTGTGATACACTTGCGTTAAATTCTTGTGATGTGAAATTAATTCGAAACATCCAAGTAACCGCTTTAAATATGAGATATGTTTGGTAACAGCTCTGCTAAGTAAGAAACTGTGAAGCAGATGTTAGATGCTCTGAAACTAGACATTTTCTGTTTGTTTTTTAATCACTATAACCCATAGCACTTTTACCGCATATAATAAATTTTGATTAATTATTATCTTTTTAAATATATTATTCATACATGAAGATGAATAATACGCTTACATGAAACAGCACGTATTTTATTATTCGAATAACCTGTAAAAAATACCTGAATCAGTGAGAGATGGCTTACCTCTTTGTCCTGTCGAGTTTGAAAGCGTTATGAGTTGTTTAGTATGTATGCCATCAATGTTTAGAGAGTTTCCATAAAATATTCATGAGCGAGTTTTATTCTGTGACGATGTACGCTGCAGATGGGGCGCTTTGAAAATTCTACATATTTAAAAAGCCTATTTTACACCAAACGCTTCGTCTGTAGGCTGATAAAATACTTTCCGCAACTGTTTCCCGAGCTGATATTCCAAACTATATTTCATAACGTTATTATTATCTAGGCTACATCATGCTTGAAAAGGCGGATAAATACCTATGGAATTAATGTGTCATTTTCAAAGCATTCTGGATACGATGTAAAAAAAATATAAAAAAAAAAGTTGCGAAAAGGTTTTTGTTTCGAATAAGCGAAATATCTGTTAATATTATCACAGCATTAATGAAATTTATGAATCGATGAAATTTTCAACATGATGACTGCAAAAGCAAAGCGGTTTTGTCGCGTCAAAACACGCTTTTAAAATTTGTCATTTATGAAGAATAAAAGAAAAAAAAAAATTCAAAGCTTTCAGATTTTATATTACACCCGAAGGGGCGTTATTAACGTTGTTTGCGTCACCTTTACTTATTAAATATCATGTTCTTCGCACTTAAACAATAAAATTCAATTGAACAGTAATATCACAAAAATTTTTAAAAGAGCATATCTTTAGAATTTTCGATACACAATCTATCACGCTGGAGACAATTCCCCCCTCCCCCCGTACAGTGTTCCAATTGCTCGCTTTGAAATCGTTGAGTTTTCTAATCAAAAATTATTTAATGTTTGAGAAAATATGAAATAGATCTAAGACAAATTCCAAATTTGGGCTTCCAGATGCCCATATTCGAATGGAAGACTACGTTATTCAAAATTTGATGTCTCTAGGTACCGTAGCATTAGTGCGAGAAACCTACATACATTCGTGCAGATTCTCCATTATTTAATTTCCTTAAATATAATGCAGGGGGTCTAATATTTGGTGGCAACAATGTGAAAAGTGAACTGACATTTATAGTTAACGGAAGCAAAATGCCAAAGCGATACAAAATATGAACTAGATAATAAAACCAATTTGAAATTTAAAATTCGGGTTTCCAGGTGTCCGTGTTTGGGTGCAGGACTACATTATTCAAAATTGTATGGTTCTAGTTTCCATTGTTTTTTCACAATGCGAGAAACAAGCATGCATTCATGCACATTTATCATTACTTAATTTCTTTAAATTTAATACAGGGCGATAATATTTGGTAGCAACAATTTAAAGTTGTTTGCAGCAACGCTTATAGTGGTTTAACGCAAAATGCTGTTTTGAGACTGATATCCCATTTGGGACTAACATCCTTTTGGGGCTCATAAAATAAAATTAACTGCCTAAGTAATAACGAAAATTTTATTTCGTTAGATGAAAAATAAATAATGGACAGTGCGTAAAAAAAAAAAAAAAAAAAAAAAAAAAAAAAAAAAAAAGAAGAAGAAGAAGAAAGTTTAGAGATAATGAGAAAAGTATAGTAAAGAACCATAAATAGATGAATAAATCAAATAACAGAATATCTCATCATCTGATTTGTAAATAGTCAAAACAGTTGTCTACAGTTCACCGAATGATCTGAAAATTCTGGTTCGTGTTTCTCACGGATGCTACAGAAATGAACGTTAACGAAGGAAGCTGTCTGGGAAAACGACCACGGTGAGCTACATTATTAGTTGTTAGACAAAATAGTTGTCTGCAATTCACCGAATGATCTGGAAATTCTGGTTCATATTTCCAAAGGATGTTACAAGAAGAACGTTAACGAAGGAACCTGTCTGGGAAAACGACCACGGTGAGCTACATTACTCGATTGTTATTTCGGTTAGCATTATTTAATAAGAATTCCTCTAGCTAAGAATGTTAAGTCAGATCTTTGGGATTGACTTTGTAACTTTGTAGAGACATTAGGATTTTTTTTACAAGCAGGCAAGATGAAAAATGAGCAATCGCCTTCGCCGGGAATCGAGCCACGGAACTCTAGAATACTGGCCCAGCGCGCAGAACCACAAAGGCACTCTAGGAAGCCGGGAGAAATACCTTATCAGGTCAAAGCTGTCTTTCTTCTATTTTACAATTATTAAAACAAAAATATCCTTCTAAAATTAAGTTACTCAAACAACAGCAGCTAATTTACTTGAACAGTCATTAAAACAGCTATTGTTAGAGTTATTTTAATACTATTGTTGGTTTTCATGCGCCATTGATGTCAAATAATTCTAAATGTTTTTCAGCAGTTACCGCTGATAATACAAATTTTCAAGATAATTTGAAATGTTCGAAAAGCCTGCGAAGCAGATGAATAAAAATAATTAGCATATTTTAATATTTTAATCACGTGATAATCTAGTTATCAATAAACTAAATAATTTCCTTTCAGTATGTAATACCATATTTATCTTTTTTGAGCAAAATCGGCATTTGTTTCGAATTCAACTGTTACATGTAACATGAAATCTAAATTCCAGATTCCTATAACTAAATATATAACGTATATTCCAGCGTACACTGAGCAACTATAATTTCAAAATACAGTTTTTAATTTTTAGATAAATTTCATTAGATATAATTTTAGATTTTAGCCGTTAAATATCTTTAGAACACATTTACATTTTTCATTACAAAGAAACCTGAAAAATACATGTGCGATGCTGTTATCTTTTGAAGCCGTTCATTCGAAGATTTTTCGCAGGCTTTCAAACAATGGTGCACTGAACATACAAGCGATAAGGTGTCAATATGTGTGTGGGGGAAATCTTGAGACGATAAATAATTCTGCGAAGAGGGTGAGTTGTATTCAATGCAGCTGCGCTCAAGAATGTTATTCTAGCGTTTCGAGTGAAAAGGGAAAATAATTTGTGAGACGAATGTAATTCCAATCCAAATGAATTCGCGGAATTAGAAGTCAGATGTTTTCCCTTTCTGTAGTCATTTGAAAACGCGATTTTGAAATGATCATCGAAGACTTTAACAAAATGCATTTGATTTTGTTGAAATACAGTTCATCTAGTGTTCCTATTAGCAACAAATATGGCTTCTGCCAAAAGAAACAGACATAGTGCAGGTTTCAAATGCAAAGTCATTCAGTTTGCGAAAGGAAATGGAACTCATTCTGCAGCAAGGATGTTTGTTATTGGTGAAAGTTCCATACATGATTGGAAGAAAAATGATATCACAATAGTTAGTATGCCAAAAAATGAATGTGCTTTCCGGAAAGCAGTAATAAGATTTCCGTAAAGAAGTAATAAAATGCCTTATCGTAGAAGGAAGTGTTGCGAATTGGGTCTTAGAAAATCGCCAGAATTGCCAATACATTATTTAAGTACATGTAGAAATCAAAATTTTGTATGCTTATCTTTTCCTTATTTTGAAATATACTCATTATTCGCATGCTAATTTACCTACTTGCAATTATACCTAATAATTACTATATAAATTAGTTGGTTAGTTTTAGTTATTCAATTATTTACCTAATTTCTATATAATTCATTTGGTTTGACTAGAGAAAATCAATTACTAGAAACAGAAATTATTGAACCAATGAAACGTCAGTATTTTAAAAAAATAATAAGCACTTTTAAATAGGTAGTTACCATTATTTTGTTATTGTAGATTTCTGTTTACAAATCTCAACGGAATGCAAGTCATAATTCAAGACTTACATATGTATCCTATTTATATGAATCTGTGAAATAATTTCACAATAATATGCATGAAACAAAACTCTTTCCTAATATATTTCTTTTCTACTCCTTACACGCTTAGATGGAAATTTGATCAGTTTAGGAAAGAATGAATATTTATGTTAGATTATGGGTAAACATAATATTGTAAGTCTTCAACTGGAAGTTTTTGAACCATTTTCGAATGTTACAATTAAGGATTACGCAAATCCAAGGGAAAAAATAGAACGCATATACGAAATGATTCGGTTGAAATTAACTTAATCGAGAATAAAAATATTTGCTCTCTCTATTTAGAAAACTTTTGCATCAAGTTGTAAACACTCTGTTGCAGTCAATAGTCTAAAGTGCAATAATAATGTTTGGAGGCATTTCTAAATTGAATTCGATATATCCTTTGCCGATATTCCTGATCTTTTTCATTAAATTTCGTAATGCGTTTTATAAAAGTTAACTGTAGATAGACGGGCAATAATCCTCCTTTGAAAGGAATATTTATATTTTTGAATAAATTGTTCTATTTATCTTATGAATACAACGCAAATTCTTAATCGCTTGCTCAACTTCTCAATAACACAGAATTAAAATGAATTATGAGGAATTTATATATCCATTTCTATTTTTTCTTAGGTACCAATAAGTACATAGATATTAGATATTATTTGCAAAGTTTTTGCTGTTTTTTTTACTATTAACTGAATAGGACAAGCTTACCAAGAAGATGTTGAAGAATGGCTTGAAGAACTGGCTTGGCCCTCCTGAGACAAGCTTCGAATCCTTTTAGGCGAATTGACAACATGAACCGGTTCAGGTTTCTCGTTCGCTTTACTCGCCATTCGCTGTCTGCAAAGGTCCTAAAAAGATGAAATATAGATAAATTAGAAATTATTCACTGGTACAAAACATGACAGAAAATTAACCAAATCCTATCTTAAAATGCAATTAAACTTTATTTCTAGATTTATATTTTACATAGGTATTTTGACAAAAATCGGACTTTCTCAGTAATGACATACGTATTTTTTTCCATACTCCGATTCTGCCACTTAAATAATGCCAAAATGCCAAGTTTTGTTAAAAATCGTACGAGTAATTTTGAAAAAAAAATCAACTCGCAAAATTTTAGCTCCTCAATGTTAATTGAATTTGGTATATATTTATTAGTATCATTTTTTATTAAACTTATTTGACTCCTTCTTTCATAATTCGAAATTTAGAACAAAAAAATAGTTCTTTATTCAAAATTTCCAAATATATACTTGAATTTATATATTAGCGCGTTTTAAAATTTGGCATATTTATTATAAGCGATAATAACGCCAAATGTGCTTTATGTACTTGAAATTATTAGAAAGAATGAACGATGCTCTATATGTTCCGCTCGTGCACAATGAAAAAAGGAAAAGGAAAATAGGTTACTATGAGTTAAAGAATTTCACAGTGTGAATTATTCTTCGTGCGAGCTGAAAAAATTCAGGCAAGTTATATTTTTAAATTTCTCAGCAAGTTCCGCACCAGATTTTACAAAATTTAATATTTGGGCATAATTTGAGTCGTAGAATCGAAATATGGAAAAAAGATCGGTATGTCTTTTCAGAAAAAGTCCGGTTTTGTGTCAAAATACCTATGTTAGAACAGCGATACATATAAATCTAATATATACCCTACAAAGCGCTTTCGAGATGTAAAAAACGCAAGTTCAGTTTCGTCAATCGCTCCTGTAGAACGGGAGATACAGAATTGTTCCTTTTTTGTGGGTACAGAGTGTACAAGTATGGCATATTTATAAGAACTTGGTTTTTATTGCATTAAACATTCACAGGAGCTGATTTCATGTAGGCTTGAGGAAAACATTCCAAACATTTTATTACATTGCCCTCAATAATTGTATTATCTTTAACTTCTCTGCACAATCGCTCTTTTGTAAAAGACTATCTATTTAAACCTACTCTTGATTCTTCCTAATGATGCAATTAAACCTGATTTTGACTGTTAGTTGATCAAAAGTGTTACAGTGAGTAGTATTCAATTGAAAACACCTGTAAATTACTTGTTGAGTAACAATAATTTAGAGAAGTTTACAAATATTTAGTCTGCCCTCTTTCCACGATTTTTAATTTCTCTGCAGCAGATAGCTATTTTTAAGCAAATTTTAGCAGAACTATTACGAAATTTTTTCTGACAAAGCATGGTGTATTTTAATCGGCAGTAAGTAAATAATGTTTCAACGAACAACAACTTTCAATTTTTTAGAATAAGGGATCATATATATTACACTATTAAAGGATATTTGATCCTTTGATATATTTTCTGTGTAAAATACATATTGTTTAAATGGGATGGTTGAAGGAAGGAAGAAGAAAATATAAAAATAATGTGGTGACTGTTTTAATAAATGATTAACACAAAATCCAAATTGAAGAAAAAATTAAGTACAAACTAAACAATAAGAACTGAACAGTTAGAAGAAATTCGAAAAGCAAATACAATCAACATGGAACAGGAATTGGAAGAGTTATATCTCAAAAAGCATCTGCTTGGTATATGACTTAATATCACATACTAAATAGTTTTGTGAGTCGTTTTCTATAAAAATTTGCTACAGTACAAAGTCTGTAATCCAGACTCGTCTGGACTTCGGAGATTCCAGATTAGGGGTTTTTTCGGATTATAGATCATCTATTTAAATCTTGTAAGATGGCATGCAGAAATTATACAATTAAAATATGAAACCGTAATTTATTAAATAAAGAGCAATTATGATCTAAAGGGTATCAAATTTTACAAGCTTAATATTTATCTGATTACTTTATTAAACATTTCTTTCAACGCGCGCATGCGTAAAGCATACATTACGCGCATGTGTAATGTATGCGCATTATTTACGCGCATGCGTAAAGTTTTTGGCTTTTGAGGTCCGGATTATAGATCATTCCGGATAATAGACGTTCAGATTACGGACTTTGTACTGTATTTTCTTTTTTTAAGCTTTAGCACTTCTTCCTACTCCTCGTTTTTATTGCTTTTAGATTTCAGTTAGAAGTTCCATAACGTCAGAGTAACATAATTTTACTGCACTTAGCTAAGTAATGCAACCTGATTCGTCGGTCAGGTTGAAATATTCGTGTTTATTTATTTTAAAGATAGTTCTGATTAGACTATAAAATTTATTACCAAATCCCATCGGTTTACTCATAGGGTTCATTCATAGTTTACTCACAGGTATTTTGTATATTAAATGCACAAAGATAAATTACCAAAGAAATTATCGTAGGTCATCAGAAGTCTGAATTAGGAAAACACTTCAAATCTAAATTCTTAAATTACAAAAAATATAAAATAATGCCAGTATTTTGTATAATTATATAAATTGTAGAGTCATTAGATTATATCAATGCAGAAGCATGAAAAATGTGCAATACTCTCGTCGGGATTCAACCGGATCTCGAGAATACGCGTCCAGTCCGCTTCTAATTACACTATAATGGCTAGCGGGAAAAAAGGAGAAAATATCTTAAAAATAATAATTTTTGTTATTTTAAACTGTTGAACTTGCTTCATTTAATAAATCATTTCTATTCTATGCGAAGTTTTGATAAGAATTATACGCTGTCAAATTTTCAAAAAAAGAATATAGCATTAGATGTGTCGCTGGTTTTCAGACATCTACTGTTTGATTTTAGTATACTTTTTGTTCAAGGCTCAAGTATAAAATGTATAATGAAATCCCTTGTAACCAGCAATATCAAAATAACGGCATCTATGAAAGTGTAGATTTAAATCCGAAATTTAAGCCTGTGAGATATACATGTTTTAAAAATGGGCTAACAATCTGAAGACTTAAAGGCTGAAAACATTTGTATTGTGTTTCAGCCGTCCAACATGCCAAGCCTCATCAGACTATCGAATAAGATTTATCCAAAAAATAAAGATGAATTATCAGTCCATTTTTATGAGTCCCTGTATGAATTTTGAAAGTAATAGTTTCCACAATTTTCAGAAGCAATTCACACCGAAGGACGCCATATTTAATTTTTCTCTTTCCTGGAAAGAAATAAAGAAAATGACGTGAACGTTAATCTAAATTGTGGTCTGTGATCACGTTTGCACATGACGAACTGAGTGACGAAGATTCTCTTGGTTTTAAAACCCGTTGACGCCTATGTCAGACATCTTGGATTTGCTTACATATTGGAAAATTAGTGTTAGTGAAGAGGAGGTGCAGGCTTGGATGAATATGGATAATTCTGTTCTTGTTGCACACTCGGAAGATAAAGACGAAATAATCGAACATGGAATGGGAGGAAGGGATGAATAGGAGCAGAATGAATATGAAGACGACACGCAGAACAAGAATATAAGATGATGTAAAATATTTCCTTTAATGCATCCGCTTAGCACTATTATTTCCATGATAAGATAGAGCTCGTAGGGTGTAATGTAGATAATATAAAAATGCGGTATTTTTCCTTAACGAGTAAGGAAAACATATTTACGTACGGTGCAAAAAATACGAATGTAATTAAATATACTGAACGTTACCTTAACTGGCTGAGCTCCCTATGCATCTAATTGCAGCCAAGAAGGGCACTACATAAAACAGGAGAATCTCCGCAAATGCCATACTTTCAACCAAGCCCCCATCATCTTACGATAAATACATCTGTTACGACGTGCGTCTGACGGTAGGGGGAGTAAGATTTTACACGCTCCGACGGGTAAAGTACGTGACGTGTAAAATAATGAGGAGAAACGTAATGCCAATTAGGGGGGGAGCAATCGGTAGTGCCCCGGTCGTGCAGGGCAGCCGAGCGAGGCTTTGAAGTTTAACGGTTTCCGCCGACTGTTTGTTAGCGTTTCCGACTTGCGTAGCGTGAAATCTTTCCACTGGCTTCAAATTCCTATTCAGGAATTCAGAAAGACATCCGTTTTCACACTGAATAAGCCGGCCGCTGTTCTGTTTTGAGAAGCGCATTTATCTGTATCCGAAATGCGGACGACGAGTATTAAAATCACAGGCGATGATCATGAAAAGGAGCCGGTTGGCATGCCACCTATCTTTAGGGCTTAAGGGGGACCCATCTATTTGCTATTGTTCAGCACTTAAACAGGACTTGGTATTAGGGTCTTCCGCATGGCCATTGTTTCACATTTAAGCCGTCTCTCAGCCTCAGAGAAACACCTGAAGTTTTGTTTCTGGACAAAAGACGCTAATTGCTTCCAAGAATTTCATCATAGCGTTGGATAATTAGAGATCCAGCTTGCCAGTCATTCCACTAACTACTTACTTGAAGTTCTCAGTTTTGTCTTTAGATTTCGTTTCGTATTTAACTTGCCAATTTTTTACTTTTTATTTTGAGTTTTAAACCCTCATTTTAAGAAATAATTACACCATTGTTAGGAAACTCTGCTTTGTTTTGTGTGGTTGTAAGATGCGATTAATGTCTGAAAGTATCGCTTCATTCTTGTTAAGAAATGAGTGGCTTTCGAGGCAGTCTAAAATTCTTTACATTTCAGAAGTTGCAGTTTCTACAAAAGGAAATCTAACAATGATTAAAAAATTCAGTATTTCTTTCACTTCAGAAGAATGATGAAGATCAATACTTTATAGAAATAGGCAAATGTGTAAAATTCGCATATCACGCATTTTCAGCATAAATGCCACCAGAAACAAAGAAATGTAAATTTACCATAATCCTGAAATTTTCAATGAAGTTCACTTTTTAAGATTCTAGATAAGTGTCTCAAACCATAATTTATTCTAGGAACAAATGAAACAATTTCTACAAAGAGCTCATTATTAAGGACAAAAAGGCACTACTATTAAACGAGTTAATGAAATTTAGAACCATAC